AAATTCTTAACATTTCCAAAGATAAATAGATATATTTAGTCTGGTTCTGCCGTGAAACTCGGTTTTTGTTTTTCCTTGGCAGGGTTGGAGTATTTGCACCATGGATGCAGGCCACCAATAGTACACAGAGACGTTAAAACAGCAAACATTCTTTTGAACGATAACTTGGAAGCCAAGATTGCCGATTTTGGCGTTTCCAAGGTCTTCCCTGAGGACGATCTCAGCCACATCGAGACTGTAGTCATGGGCACTCCCGGCTACATTGATCCTGAGTAAGTGTCTTCTACACATCACTGGTTTAATTTACCCTATAGGCACACATGGTGAGCCGAAAAGCCATGAGAAGGAAGTAATGAGCGAGATTACGAAGCAAATTTGATTAAAGGAGTTTGATCAATTTATGCTTTTTTGTACACATATTATTTGTGTTGTTTGGTCAGATTCACGTATGATTTGATTGGAACTTGTAAAAGGTTTCTTTCCCACGAAAGTAATTACTTGTAAGAAACAAAAAAACAATTGGATGCTATGCTTTGTGATGACTCAGGTTTAATTTCAGTCTCCCGTCTTGTTTTGCAGTTTATGCAAATGTCTAAGTTTTGAGTTAGCCACTTACCCTTGTGGTGATGAATTGTTGAGATAAATCACATTGACATAAACTGACTTATCATGCAGGAGATCCTCTTGACTATTTGTTTTATCTGAAAAAAGAAACAACATTTGTGAGACGGATCGGATCCTTCTAGTAATAATGTAGGAATCTAGATTGTCTAATCACCTACCATACGTTCGTCGGTAGTCCAACTAAATGGACGTTCCCTCTGATGAACAAATTTGGCGGTCTAAAATCCTACCCAACTTTTAAAACTAACTTTTTTTTCCAAAAGCTCTTGTTTTAAGACACCCAAATTGATAATATATTGGGAAAATTAGGAAATTTTTTTTTTTTTTGCCAAATTAGGAACAAATTTGGCAGTCTAAACTTTTATCTTAAATTTTTGATAAACTAAACTTTTAATTAAACTAAATTCTATTCTACTCTTTATTATAAAAAAATATAATAAAAATATACATCAACCAAAAATATTGAATTTCTTTATTTTAAAAAATCTAGTTCATATAGAATTGAAAAAAACAAAAGTTTCTTTTTTATCTTCATCATGTTTTTGTTTCTTCGACGTCGTTTCTTTCCAACATCTACTTCCGTTAAAACGAATCCACATAGTTCCCTTCGTCATCTTTTCTGCAATTCTATCTATTATGTTTTGTCAGGTCATATTCGTCTCCTCGTCATCATAAAAAAAAAGATTTTTTTTGTATTCCAAGGTACATGAATAACGATGAAATCTTTGAATTGAACAATTGAGTTCCTTAAAAGTAAATTTTAGTAGTAGATGAACACATTCTCTTGATTCATATTTTCTTAATCTTAATTTTAAGTACAAATATTTTTTATGTAATTTATATTCCTCAACTTCATTTCATTTACAAAAAATTATGTTTTTCTTTTATAAAAAAAAAACTGTAATACTTGTTTTAAATATAAGAAGAGAGTGCAATGTGAGAGGTG